ACACACCTGTAGCTTCCAGCCAAGCAGTAGACAGGAATACAAGTTGAGCATTTATCTGAGGTAGATACACTCCTTGGAGAGAACAAGTAAGAGAGAAAGAAGGGCTGCTCAGGCACAGGGAGACAGCTCAGGGGGTAGGAGTGCATGGAGGGATGGTCACAGGGAAGCGGTACCTATCGGGAGGAACTGGGAGAGGAGATGTTGCATTGTGCTAAATAGTGGTCAATGCCATGAGTCAAAGTATATGTGATCTGCTGTATGGAAAGTGTATTTGCTCTGTAAATTTTCACCCAAATCACAATAAAAAATAAAAATTTAATAATAAAAAAAAAAAGAATAAAGGTGCTGGACTGTATGTCTGTGTCAGGAACTTAAAAACTTAAATATATAATTTGCCTTCTTCCATTTGGTAGGAATCCATTTCCCCCCTTGCTAAAAATACATCTTTTCCAAGTACTTTTTTCATCTTTAGAATGTCTTTGGAGTATTGAAAATGTTTTCTTTGCAGAACCAGAAAAAGATATTTAAGAGCATCAAATAATGTATTGGCCCTATTAATATAAGAACTATTTTAAATAATCTTGATGACCATCAAAACATAAAACCAAACTCACTACCATCGAGTTGATTCTGACTCAGTGACCCTCATTGGGTTTCCAAGGCTGTAAATCTTTACGGAAGCAGACTACCTCATTTTTCTTCTGTGGAGCAGCTGGTGGGTTCGAAACACCAACTTTCTGGGTTAGCAGTCAAATAACTTAGCTACTATACCACCTCTGCAGACAATAAAAGAAAATCTAGAAGGCTGGTGGTTCAAACCCACCAGCCACTCCTCGGAAGGAAGGTTGGGAAATTTACTTCCGTAGTGATACCGCCTCGGAAACCCAAGGAGGGGTCGCGATGAGTCGAGTCCGACTCAGTGGCACATAACAACAACAAGTAAGACGTTTACTGATGTTTAAGGCTGAATGCAACAAAGGTAAAAATGTTTCATATATTCTTTGAGAACCAAGAAAAGAAAACTGTATATTTTAGCTGAAATTTATAGTTAAATAACATACACTGCAAATAAATCATTAGTAGTCTTAGCTCAGAAAAATGTGAAACTGCAATTTTACATTATTCCAATTTTATTAAGGAAACTCTTTCTTCCTCTTAGTTTTCATCAGTATAACTATAACAAAATTATCTTTATTAATAGGAAAAGCCATCTATTCTACCAAGGAGGTTAAAAGCCTAATCTCTGCCTTTGGACAGCCATTAATTACAAAGGAAAATTGGAAAACTAGTATACCATATATAAAGAGCTCTGGTGGCACAGTGCCTAAGACATTTGACCGCTAACTAGAAGGCTGGCGGTTCAAACCCACCAACCACTCTGCAGAAGGACGATGAGACAATCTACTTCCATAAAGATTTACAGAAAACCCCCTTGGAAACCCAACGGGGATCACAATGTGTCAGAATCAACTCAAAGGTAGTGGGTTTGTTTTTTGGTTTTCATATGGTATATATAACATTTTATTTAAATTGTACAAATTTATTAATAGAATCTTAAACAACATTCAATTCCACATGAATCTACAAACAAATTGAGTGCTATTTCCATTCTCAGTATCAGGTGTCAGATAGGTCAACTGAGTTATATATTCTCATTTTTACTAGACAGTCTGTTCATAAGCAAGACCAATGTATTTCAAACCTTCTATATCCAAATAGCAATAACCAATATGTCTAAATATCCTTAAAATGACGTATTTCAACCAGTTTTAAAACAAACACATTGTTGAGTAATAGTGTAAAACATAACACCACCTTTCACTTCAATCGAAAATTTCAAACTTTTTAATTATTTATGTCTCCAAGTTACAGGCTGTTTACTGTCAAAATTATAATCCTCTGGTACATACTTTAATAGATGAAATTTGCTTTCTTCCCCTAGGGAATTGACAGAACTATACTAATATCTAAGAAATACGATTAAATTAGTTTAATTACTTCATGTCGACTTGATAAGTCACTGCTCTTTAATGCAAAAACTGCCACTTGAATTAATGACTGTAGGTACTACTTCCATTGATCAAATGTCTAATACACATAAAACATTCAAGGAAGTTCTGTATATCTTACAGCAATTCAGTGGAGAAGTCTTGTCCCAGGGGTACATAAATCTGAAGCACAAGAAACCTCTGGATCAGTCCAACTGGAAAGAGACGGGGGGGAAATGTACATTTATATGTCCAAACGATGTATATGTACATATAAAAAACACAATCACATGCCATCAACAAGTTGAAGCTTTTAGCATTTCAGTAACACACTGAACTGCACCAGAACTACCCATGAGTTACAACCTCACTATGAAAGAAAAAAACTGATAAAAATCAAATCAAATTCAAACAACAAATGTTGCCTTTTAAAATCCCATCTGTGGCCTTGGTGAAATTTTTATGAAAATTTTAAAAAATTTTAAAATAATTTTTTTATTTACCATTTTTATTAGGCTGCAAGAGACTGCACATTCTGAACTTCATTCACCATGCATATAAAATTGAACTACAGATTTCCATCAAAGAGATCATAAAAGCATGTAGCAATTATTTTTACTCACTGACAGTTTTAACTGTACTAAATAACTTAATGAAAAATAGACTAAGAAAAACAATTCTAATTATGAAAACTATAACTGATGGCTTCATGGGCCATATTTAGTTCATATGGTTTTAAATGTGTTTACATCAAGATAGATGAAGGAACATATTTTCATTTATAATACCCACTGTTAATTTAACACATGCTTAATTAATTTAATGCTCACTAATTAAGAACTGATAACTTTTACTCCTTATCACCAGTTTCATCTGCTTTAAAAATATCTGGAGATAAAACAATCTCTATGATACTTCTGGTAGCTGAAGTCTACAATTGTTTCAAAAATCGATTGATTTTATCTTACCACTCTAGACCCATTCACTTATAATTCTTTTCCTTTTAGGTTCTGAACTTTTGCTTGCTCTCACAATTATGATGCTCTTAACAGATGTTTTAGTATTGCTATCTCTCACAACATGTCTTTGAGGAACTTTTATCCTGATGTGAGATTTTAGGGGAGGAAAAAGAGATGTCTTGATTTATCTGTGATTCCCTACAAATCTGTTAATATAGGCCAGCACACATGGGTAAAAGATCTCAAAGAAGGTAACTTCTAAAAAGCATGCCACTTTCTATTTATTCTGACACAGTAGGCTAAATAAATGTAAATATTTTAAAGTAGCAATATGTTTTTGTATAGTCTATATAAGAACTTTCTTCTGGCTTACAATTCCTGTGGTAAACTTGTATCACAGCATTGCTAAACAACTTCAGTACCTATGTTATAACCCTAAATTTACTTGTCCTTGTTGTTAGGTGCTATCAAGTAGATTCCAACTCAAAGTGGAACAAAACACTGCCTTGGTCTACCATCCTCACAATATTTGCTATGCTGGAGCCCATCATGGCAGCCACTGTGTCAATCCATCTTGTTAAGGGTCTCCCCTTTTTTTTTGCTGACCCTCCACTTTACCAAGCATGATATCCTTCTCCAGGGATTGGTCCCTTCTGACAATGTGACCAAAATAGGTCTAGCCTATTTTGCTTATTTATCCTAGTCTAGCCACTCTTGCTTCTAGGGATCATTCCGGCGATGCTTCTTCCAAGGACAGACTTTTGTTCTGGCAATCCATGGAATTTTCAGTATTCTTCACCAACACCATAATTTAAAGGCATCAACTCTTCAGTCTTCCTTATTCATTTTCCAGCTTTCACATGCATATGAGGCTACTGAAAATACCATGGCTTGGGTTAGGCATGTCTTAGTCTTCAAAGAGGTCCCTTGTAGCACATTTGCCCAATCCAATACAATGTTTTATGTTGAGGTATAATCCATACTGAAGGCTATAGTCTTTTATCTTTACCAGTAAGTGCTTCAAGTCATCTTCATTTTCAGTAGGCAAGGTTGTGTCATCTGCGTATCACAGGCTGTTAGTCTTCTTCCAATCCTGATGCTACATTCTTCTTCATAGCCACCTTCTCAGATTATTTGCTAAGCATATAGATTGAATAAGTAGGGTGAAAAGATAAAATCCTAACCCACAACCTTCCTGATTTTAAACCATGCAGTATCCTTCTTGTTCTGTTCAAAAATCAGCCTCCTGGTCTATGTACAGGTTCCTCATGAGCACAATTAAGTGTTCTGGCATTCCCATTCTTTGCAATGTCATCCATAATTTGTTATGATCCACACAGTCAAATGCCTTTGCATAATCAATAAAACACAGGTAAACATCTTTCTTGTATTCTTTGCTTTCAACCAAAATCCACTGGACATCAGCAATGACATTCCTTGTTCCACATCCTCTTCTGAATCCAGCTTGCATTTTTGAACATTCCCTGTCAATATACTGCTGTAACCATTCTAGAAGTATCTTTAGCAAAATTTTACATGTGTGTGACACTAATGATACTGTTCAATAATTCCCATATTTGTTGGAATTGGCACAAATATGGATCTCTTCCAGTCGATTTGCCAGGTAGCTGTCTTCCAAATTTCTTTGCATAAATGAATAAGCACCTCCAGCACTGAATCTGTGTTTTGAAACATCTCAATGGGCATTCTGTCAATTCCTGGAGCCTTGTTTTTCGCCAGTTCCTTCAGTGCAGCTTCAGGTTCTTCCTTCAGTACCACTGGATCTTGATCGTATGCTACCTCCTGAAATGGATGAATGTCAACCAATTCTTTTTGGTACAGTGGCTCTGTGTATTGCTTCCATCTTCTTTTGATGTTTCCTGCATCATCCAATATTTTTGCAGTAGAACCCTTCAATATTGCAAGTTGAGGCTTCAATTTTTTCTTCAGTTCTTTCAGCTTGAGAAATGCCAAGTGTGTTTCCTCCCTTTTGATTTTCTAACTCCAGGTCTTTAAACATTTCAATATAATACTTATTTTGTCTTCTCAAGCTGCTCTTTGAAATATTCTGTTCAGCTCTTTTATTTCATCATTTCTTCCATTTGCTTTAGCTACTCTGTTTGAAAGCAAGTTTCAGAGTCTCTTCTAACATCCATTTTGGTCTTTTCTTCCTTTCCTGTCTTTTTAATGATCTTTTGCTTTCCCCATATATAATGTTCTTGATGTCATCCCACAATTTATCTGGCTCCCATGGGCTTGCTGTAATTTTCTTCAGCTTCTACGTAAACTTGCATATGAGCAATTAATGGTCTGTTCCACAACCAGCTCCTGGTTTTGTCTGACTGATAATATTGAGCTGCTCTACTACCTCTTTGCATAGATGTAGTCAATTTGTTTCCTGTGTACTCTATCTGTGTGCAGCCACTGTATATGTTTTTGAAAAAAGTAGTTATTAAACAATAAACATATTTTTTAAATCAAAGCATACTACGATAATTTTTACTTAAAAGAGAGCCATCAGTAGCATAAGCAAAGTAATCAAAGTAAATAGGGAACCTGATTCTACCATATGCATGGGCAAAGCTAGGGAGGACTACCAATCAGAATGTCATACTACAGAACCAAAGTGAAATACAAAATGAAGCCAACTTAAATATACTATTGTCAATCAATCTTCCATCGATTGGCACTATGGTATTTTGCAATTGCACAGTGGCATCTGTAAATACAGCTGAGTGAGCACCAGGATAAATAAAAATCACAGTCCTTAAAAAAGCTTCCTAATTTGTTATAGATCTCACTAAATCAGCATGCACTGTCCTCTGTAAACATAAAGAGCTATAACTATAAGGCATTTTTGTATAAACATTTTTAGATATGAAAGATTCCTACCCTCAAAAAAAGAAAGCTTTGTAATTCAATTTTTTCAAATATAGAGTAACTAGTTTACAAATGGCTTCATTGCTAAGATTAAAAGTAGTATGATACCATATGGGGATGATCTGACAAAGGAAAAAGTACTTTAATAATGTTTGACAGTGACTGATCCTGTGTGTCAGAAATGCTAAATAAACTCTAGTGATTATTTTTTCTATTACCCTTTAAATTTAAACTGACTCTTCACATCTACATTATATTTAAAATCACTTTTTCTAAGTAACGTTGAAAGTGGAACAGCTGTTAGTCAAAAAAATGCCCATCAAGGACATAAAATTCATAAAAATCTACACTTTATACTAAAATATGCAGGCTTTTTCAGTTTTATAACCTGCTGTCTGCTTGAAACTCAAGATACAAACTACCTCTATTTTTTAAGGGGTCATGGCCTGTTTTCTTTTGAATATTTTAAGAATATTTTAATTTATTTAAAATAAGTTTTTTTTTTTTTACCATCAGATTTTTAAAAAGTGGTTTTGTAATTGTTCCATTATAGCAAGTATGTACCAAAAGTATGTTTAATAACAGTAATTCTCAGGATTTTTACCTTCAAAGTTAAAAGCAACACAAAACATTCCTACTTTTAAGATGCAGTCTCAAAATAGATTTGAAAGCATGTTAATTTAAAATATTCCATGATGTAAGACTGTACACCTTATATACACTTTACTAGCATTACACTGTCCAAAGAATTGAGATTAGACCACAATACAGTCCTTCTTTACAAGTGTCCTGATAAATTGTCACTAAAGTAATTATACAGTTCCTGTGACAGCCTTGGCACAAGCAGCACATTAATGTGCACCTCTTTCACTTCAACAAAGAAAACAGAACAGAGGTATGCCTTCATTGTGAGCTATTCCATTCTCCTTGGGCAAATCAGAAAATCTATTGGGGTCCTTTTCATCTGTAAAATGGAGATTAATAATTTAGATCTATACCTCACAAAGGAGCTCTGGTGGCATACTGCCTAAGGCATTTGACTGCTAACCAGAAGGCTGGCAGTTCAAACCCACCAGCCACTCCTCAGAAGAAAGACTGGGCAATCTACTTCCATAGTGATACTGCCTCAGAAACTCAAGAAGAGGTTGCTATGAGTCAGATCTGACTCGACAGCAGTGAGTTTGGTTTTTTTGGCTTTTTATACCTCACAAGGTGGTTTTTGTAAATTAAGTTACATTGTTCAATGAAGATTTAGTGAGCACCTACTCTGTGCAAGGCTAAGGTGACAGGGCATTTCACAGTAAATAAAAGACAGACATGTTCTCTGCCCTCTTAGAACTTATATTCTAGTTCCACAAAGGAAAAGGTCAGGTTGC